CAACTCTTTAAACTCATCAGGGAAACGGGTGGGAGAAGGCAAATCATAAGCGAAACAATCTCGGAGAAAAATGGCACCATAATTAGCTCTCAGGATAGACGCCTTGAACGCTGGAAAGAGCACTTTAAGGAACAATTTAACTTACTTACAGTCACACTGAACCTCCCCGCCATCCAGCACACAGCCAAATGGGATATAGACACTGGTCCGCCATCTGTAAGTGAGGTCACAAAAGCTATCTGTAATCTGAAACGAGGCAAAGCGGCAGGACCCGACAGAATTATTCCGGAGGTGTTTAAATATCTGTCTGTTTTCGACATAGAACTTTGCACATATGTGCGGCAGTTCAAGTCGCCACAGTTTAAATATGGGGGTGACACACTAGTTTGTAGATTAACTGAGGTACTAGGCAACGTCTGGGAACCAGAGACGGTTCCATCAGACTGGGGTAAGTCACTTATTATACCCATATTCAAGAAGGGAAACAAGTCCTCGTGTGATAACCATAGGGGGATCAGCCTAACGAACATAGTTTCTAAAATCCTAGGCTCAGTAATCATGCATAGACTAAGCAGAACTCGGGAGGAACAAATGAGGGAAAATCAAGCAGGCTTTAGACCAGGTTGAGGGTGCATAGATCATATCTTCACTCTCCGGCAGATTCTAGAACATAGACACACATTTCGGCGTCCAGCAATTGCCATATTTCTTGACTTGAAGACGGCCTTTGACTCCGTGGATCGAAAGGTACTATGGCAATGTCTGACTGTGAAGGGAGTGCCAAGAAAGTACATTTCACTAATCAAGACACTCTATTCAAACTCACGTAGTCGTGTGAGGGCTTATGGGGAATTGTCATCTGAATTGGTAACAACCAGTGGTGTCCGACAGGGATGTCCACTTTCCCCATTCCTGTTTAACTTCATCATAGATATCCTGATGGAAATATCCTTGACTGAACGTAACGACTTGGGAATCTACTTGTTACCAGAGAATAGTCTTATGGACTTAGAATATGCAGATCACATAGTCCTGTTAGGGGAGGATTCTGACAAAATGCAGAGTCTTCTGAACACCTTGAGCAGCAATCTCCGTATGTTTGGCATGCGATTCGCCCCTGCAAAATGTAAGATGCTGCTACAGGACTGGACCACGTCAACTCCTAACTTAGTGATAGGGAGTGAAGTGATAGAACATGTTGACCACTACACCTATTTGGGAAGTATCAACACACCAACGGACTGATTGGCGACGAAATCTCAGCACGGATCCAAAAAGCTCGAGCTGCTTTCGCTAACTTACACCATCTCTGGCGTAGACGTGACATCCGGCTATCAACCAAGGGACGTGTGTACTGCTCAGCAGTTCGCTCCGTCCTTCTCTATGGCTCTGAAACATGGCCAATACGAGTTGAAGACATGAAAAGGTTGACTGCTTTCGATCATAGATGTCTGCGATCTCTGTCTCACGTTAGGTGGTTTAATAAGGTAAGTAATGTTTATGTTGGGCGTAGAATGTTTGGCAAAGAGGGAAAATCAATCGACGAGGCTATAAAGTTACATAGATTGAGATGGCTAGGTCACGTGCTGCGCATGCCTAACCATCGCCTCCCCCGACGGGCATTATTACCCGATATAGATGCAGGTTGGGAAAGAGTAAGTGGTGGCCAAACAAAAACATGGCCTCATCAATCTATGAAATCCTTGACAGTTAAACTGATTCAGGTAGGGAGATGCAGACTTCCGGGTTGGGGCCCTCGGGACTCTAGGAATCAATGGCTGGAGACAATAGGTGACATGGCTCAAAATCGTTGTCAATGGTGCAGATGTATTCAGTCTCTGTAATCTTTCATATTTCTTTGTAGCATTACCCATTCTGTTTCGCTCTTATACCTGTCAAACTCTATTGATTCTCTTCACTCATCTTGTTGTCTACCTTTGTGTGCTATTTGGAACGTGGCATCTGGAACTGGTGCATTTCGGTGTTAGTTCTATGTTGAATTCAGACAGACGGATGAATTCGTAAAATTTCTTTGTTTCAACACTTTGTTTGTTAATTTCGTTTTAAGCATGAACTACTAGGTTATCATCAAAAGGCGATAAGTTAAGTTGGAAACTAGTTTGAGATTACGGTGTAAGAGGTAAAGCCTTCGAGAATTAACCTGTGGTCCCTTTAGTCAGGGTGGATATGTCATTTTACTAAAATTTTTGGATGTAGCGTTATGCTAACCATGTTCAAATTTACTGGTTTCGAAAATTTGGACGTTAAGTATATTATTGTAAAAATTGTCATATAAGTTTTGTTTCCCACAAACGGTCAGACAGGGCTTTGCTTTTATTGACGTTTCACTGTCTAGTGCAGCATCTTACATTTAACTTCGGCAAATCGCATGCCAAACATGCTAAGATTTCTGAACAGTGTATTCAGAAGACCCTACATTTTGACAGCATTTTTATCGGCGAGGGCTGTATTATAAATGAAATTATTTCCTGGTAATAGGTCCATCTGTGAGTTGCTAAATTTGGTCACATCGATTAGCACATCTATGATGAAATGAAACAAATAGGGACATTGGGCATCCTTGATGAATAACACTGGTTGCCTTCACTTCATACGGCAACTGCATAAGATCTTACGTAGCTGCATGAGTTCGAGTAGAGTACCTTCATTTGTATGATATACTTTTCCACCACTCGCTTCATGACCAGACCTTACCATAGAACCTGTCTGTTGATGGAGTCAAATGCTGCCCATATCAATTACTAGATGCTGCTGAGTATGACTTTCAGAATTTATCGAAGAGTGGACATATGATCAATAAACCCTCGTCCAGGCTTAAAGCCTGGCTAATCTTCACGAGTTTGTTTCTCGCCAGCACTGTTTAGTCTACAGAAGATTAGTGACCCTGGGACTTTATATAGACGCTTAGTCAAACTAATCCCCTTATAATTATCACAGCAAAATTCCCCTTTACGAGCTGGACAATCAACGATTTTCACTAATTTATCTCAAATTCCAGCGCACTACTCCCTATCTTAGCTCATCACCATTACTCTTAAACTGCACTGGAGTCATGCTATCACTGCTTTGCCCCATTTTAGATTTTAGACAGCTTTTCCAACCTCAGTTAAAGTTAAAAGATCGATATATACGTCCCACTCAAGTAGATGTTGGATGCTGGAAGAATTCAGCGTATCTCTATGTCAGTTAAGCTGCTCTTCAGAGTGTTGTCATCGGCGTTCTAATCGTCTATCGTGGGAGGTAATTAAAGTGTTATCCTCAAAAATTGTTTCAATCATCACAGGCTTTTTTTACCGCCTTTTTCCTTAATGAGTCTGAATGATTGTCTAGTGTTACCTAACGGCTATGCTTTTTCCATCTATGTCTCGTCTTCGTTGTAGAAACTTTTAGTCAGCTTGCATTTGAGCAGCTTTCGATCTTTGTCATGCTGGAAATAATTTTTAGGCATCATCGCTTATATCATCTGAACAGTTACTCCCTCCAAACCAACTTGTAAAACAAGGCAGTGTGTAACTTTACGGGTAACTGGGACTTTATGTCATCTACAAACAACAACATTTAAGGCATGAGCGTCATCCTCAATTTATTCACTTAAAGCAATACTACAAGTTACAAGACTGATCTTAAGAAAACTTATGACAAATGTGCGTTAGTATATTTTTTTATTCCTTGACGTTCCTAGTGGAACATAGGGCCTCAAGCTAGTTGCTTGAAGTTTCTGTATTAGTGTTTATTTTTAAAGGATAGTGTTGCTAGCCTCATACCCAACCTTTCCTCTTTACCAGCTTTATTACCGGCTTAGCGAGGTAAAGGAGTGCATCAGCCGATGATCGAACCCCGGACCATGTGCATGATTGGCGAGCATCCTAACCTCTGTGCCACCGACGCGAGAGCGTATGGTGTCTAACAATAGAAAGGCTTATTAAGATATTGATCAACAACAGTGGGTCCTTAGGGGTTTATCTCAAACAGGTGTTTGGAGTAAAAAAGTCTTCTTCATTTCGGTTCAAAAAATTCGGAGTAAAATATAAAAAAGTTAAAAATCTTCGTTTTTTGTGTAACAAAAGTCTTTTTGATAATTTAGTGAATCTTTCAAGATTAGATTATGTATTTCAATAATTGTATTGTTTTCCGAATGTAGAAAGCAGTGTAAATGCATGAACTATTGTTAGGTAGTTAGAGGTATTCCATAGGAAGCTTTAGACATAAGTTCCTCACTTGTTAGTATTCGTCAGCAAGGAGTATCTACAGTCTTGGAGGAACTCATATCCCTTCTGGGATTCGAACCCGTGTAACTCAGTGCTACAGTCAGAGACGTTACCGTTGAGTTATTTGGGCTCGAATATCTGACGAGAGTTAGCAGCTACGAAACCTAGGTCAAAGACTTTCCGCCAATTCCCTCCAACCATCTAATAATAACAACAAAAGCTCAGAGTACACAATGATTGCGACTCACCAAGCATGCTGGTCATATTACAAACTAGACTGATAGAATTCAATCGGCATCAAATGATGGACTGAACTCATGACACTAGTTATTACCTAGTGTCCAATCAAATTTTAAAAAAATACACGAACGCAATACACTTGTTTCAGTCTAAGAGATTAAATAATCCGTGGTCAATTGCATTTTAAAAGAGATATTGAGCTACAGTGTGAACCACACATACGCAACCAGTTATTTTCGTACTGTCTGTTTAGTTATATCCCTTTTTATGTAGAATGGAGTTTATAACTACGTATCATTTGTTGGAAGTGAAATGATTCAGGGAATTTCAGCCCTACCTGAAAAGCCTGTGAATTGTCATGATTTCCTTAAAGTTTATCATATTTCATTAAACTAGTATAATCTGAGTTATCGTTCTTGTTTCCTGTGAGATTATTTTATACCCTGTCATTTTCACTGATACAGTCTTTCCTTTTATTATGATTCAACACACAGGTTACCAATCTAGAAGACCTACTAGCCTTATTCTAAAATGACAGAAAAACGTTCTGCACGACAACGTAAAGTTCAAAATTATTCTCTCTTAGCAGACGAAAGTGATGAGGAATTCTTTTATGATGATGAACCAGTCAAACATAAGAAGAAGTATGATGATGATGATGATGACATAGAGTCAACAAAGTCAACCAGTAAATCTACTAAACTAAAAAGAAAACAGTGAAGGAAAAGTCAGTGACAAAACCATCCGAGGCAATTCCTGCATCAAAAGAGAATCAACTGCCTAAAACTGTTAATGAAATAAAGCCGACTAATTTTAGTCCTGCAGTAGTATCTCACTCTGAAACACCTAAATCACCTGTAATCATTAGTCCAACACCGAGATTCCTGTCGAAATCTGTTCCTACTACTCCTGTTCAGTCAGCTGTATCACTTTCTAATTCAGCAGTTACGCCACCACCATCGTCTTTAGGTAAGGCGTTTATTCCTGTCACTCCATCTAGTGGTCTACGTCTTGGTTTGTCACGTACAAAAAAATTGCGACCTTTACACACAAATGTACGCATAACATAACATAATCTACAGGATACTTTTTGTCTTTTGTATATAGAAAATTTTTCTAAACCTTACCTTTATTTGTATTGTAGAAAACTATCTTTATAATATAAAAGTAAAATTATTATCCTTGTGACTTTTCAGGAGAATACTCTACATATGTTTTTATGATTTCCAAGCATATATTATCAAGTGTACATCCTTCTTTGTAATCTAATCCAGGACTTAATTTATTTTATACACATATATTTTTATATTTACATTATGAAGTTTTCTTTCTTTCAATAATTGAGGACTGTATAAAGACTTAGTTGAGCTCGAAAATAAAGACTTAGCTGGCTATCCAATTCTTAATACCAACTTCTTGATCACTAATCCTAATGCTTTAAAGAATGAAACATGCATGACTGAGAGAATGGGTCACTGAGCGTTCCACAAAAATATCATATACGTAGGTGATGTGCGTCGGTGGTACAGCAGTTAGGACGCTCGCCGACCATGCACATGGTCCGGGGTTCGATTCCCGGCCACTGACGCACTCTTTTACCTTGCTAAGCCAGAAATAATGCTGGTAAAGAGGAAAGGTTGGGTATGAGGCTAGCAACCCCATCCTGTTAAATTAAACACTGCTACAGAAACTTCAAGCCACCAGCCTAAGTCCCTATGTTCCACTGGGAACGTGAAGGAAAAAGGAAAATAAAGAAAAGGTGATGTCCATTTTTTTGGTTCATTCAGGTGAATTTCTCCTACTTCAGTTAAATGAGCTGTGAGTGATAGTATGACTATTTAGGATCATTATTGTTGTTGGTTTGTCTCTGCACTAAATCTAACAAATTCTTATATAAGAGATTTCATATTCTTGATAAATATGAACAGTTGTATATCCAATGGAAAGCAATAGGCTGAAAATTGTTACTCATGTCTCAGTATTTAAGAGTAGTTGATCTGGCTTCAGATAATTTGATACCAGCGCTTAAAGAGCTAGTGTTAAACAAATCTGTTGTTGTGTCAGCTGAACCATATTAACAGTTCTAATGTTTTTATTGTATCCTAATGTAAAGTTCTCACAGGCTTTTATTTCGAGTGAGATAGATATTTCACTAATTGGTAATGTAAGTATGTTTTGTTTAACACACCTTTCTGTTCACTGGTCTAGACTTTCGACGATCAATTAACCTTTCAAAGTGTTGTGATTCTTATATATATATATTGCAAGTTTTGAGCAACTGGTCAGTACCGCTTGCTGCGCACATCTAATCATGTCAATTCTTAGTTCTCAGTGTTTCTTCTAGGAGGCTGCTTCACAATTTCCCCTTATTTTAACCCCACAATTTTCCCATTAATCCTTTTTTACTTCTTATATCCACTTTTAGAGTTAGGAGAAAGTATAAAAAAGGGTAGGGTTATACAGCTTACACAAAACCGATGCCAATTTATCTGTGATAATAAAAGAACGTCAAATAAACAGTTAACTCAAGAAAATAATTCTGATAGTCGCTAGTGTCTAACTACAGGATGAAATTGCCTGGAGTTCTAGTAAAAAGTTGTGACCAGTGAGGACCACTGGGACAGATGTGAGGACGAATATTCGTTAATGACATTGGCTAACGATCGGGCTAAAATCACAAATTGACAGGAGTTAGAATTCATGGACTGTTGGACTCAGGCTTTAGTTGGTTCTGTGGGCTTAGTCACGCAACTTGTAGGTTCTAGGTTCGACCTCTGGTGATAGGGTTGTGGGTACGTACGGATAAAATCCCATACGAGGACGAAACAGCTGTCTAGTACTGCTAGGCTGGTTTTCACTGATTAAACTTGAGACAGGTAGTAGTTACTGAAATGCAATTAAGTAAGCAAGTAATTTATGAGGAAATGCCTCATTACCTTGCTGTTATCAATGCATATTTTGACCTTATTCTCCTTTTCAATGGATTAAAATTTCTTAGATAAAGGAGGGAGTGATTTTTGGTGGAATTATGAACAGTTAATTGTTTCCTAAATGTTACTAACCAGTACATAATACTATTTCACTGTGATAGATTTCACTAATCAATTAGTATGAAACAAAGAAAGACCAGATTTGCAGGATACAATGGTATCATCATCCTGTTTCACAGGTTCTCATCATCAGCTGCTGCAAACTGCCTGACATTACAATAGTTATACAAAAGAAAAATGTCGATAACATACCTCAGTGTTTGAATGGTAGCAGAGAAAACATTATAAAATCATCGCATCCGAAATATAAGCATTACAATTTTTGGTTTAAGTTATCATCAATTTTTATGATTCCAAAGTAGATAAGGAGGTGGAGTGAGGGAGAAGACAGAAAACAGAAAAAATCTAATAAATAGTGTTAGCTCTTAGGTTCACATGACAACTCAAGAAGGTTATTAGTTCAAAAATATTGAGAAGCTTGTTCAATGAGTTGGAATCACTAATATGGATGACTAATGAATGTAATCGAAATGCAGTTACCAAGGGAGTGAGAGATTGGTTACACTCTCTTCTTATGTATGCATAAATTTGGTTCGAAACGCTTGATTATAAGTGCTTCACGAAATCGTAGTAAATTTTACTGTCCCTTGTATTTTTTACTATTTTGAAGGATTTAGAAATGTTGACGCAGGGATCCGTACCCATAAGGTGTCTCATAACTGCATTTTGTTAATATCTGCTTCCTTTTAGACATAATTTTCTAGGGATATGCTCTGAAAATAGGATAGAAACCCTTCTTTCTAATATACTTGTTCCCGCAAATGCACGTAAATTTATAAACGCAGTTGGAGGTGATATCATTGCGGTACTTCTACAGTTTCGGTTGGCTTATAGTACATGTGGTGCTGTATAGCCGTACGAGCCTAGTTACATGGAAGTGTCTTGTTATTGCTGCTTTCAATCTCTTGTCAATCTTTGTGATGCTGCTTCTCCTTTGAATGGGTGACAAATGAACATTTTCTGCTTTTCAACAGTTGAATGTTTCGTTGTCTCTTTCTTTTTTTTTACTGTACTTTTGGATAAATCCCATTGGATACCCATTTTCCCTGAGGCATTTTTCAACAAGGTTTAATTCTTCTTCCACTTTTTGGGCAAACATAACTTCCTGCCTTGGTCGTACAGTTTCCTTACTAATCCACACTTATAGGACAGAAGCTGTTGTAGTGTAGATATTGTTTGATCCGGGTTTCTTTCTGTAGATGAATTTTCCGATCGTACCATCATCGTTTCTTCTCACATTAAGGTTCAACAAATTAGACTCATCGTTGTGTTCATATTCCACGGTTAATTTAATCTTTGGGTGGATCTCATTAAGATGGTCAAATAATACAGATGCCTGACGCATGTCGTTACAAACAGCAAGCAAGCGTATGACTAAACAAGTTTCCAATATTATGAATTGTAACCTTCTTGAGTTTCCATGTAGACCTACTTGCTACTATGGTGAGAACTGGCTGCTGGTCAAAATTGGTAGATAGTAATTTGCGTCAATGTGTACGTCCCCAATATTGGTCATGAGAAAAATAAGAACAAAGATTGATTCAACAACCAATCACAGCAGACTTTGTGTAGGCGGATAAAATTTGTGGATGAATAATTTGAACTTCAAAAGACGACACAAAGAGATGAAAGATTAACGTTCAGCGAGAAATCACCAATCAGAAGACTGTTTGTTCTCTTACAATAAACTATAATAATGTACACGAGAATCTATAAATATGTGTTGATTTCATAAAGAAACGATGTATTGCCTGGCCCTTATCTTCTGTTGTTACACTACCACTGTTTATTAGATTTTTCTGTTTTCTACCTTCTTCTCTTCCCACCCTCCTTTTCTATTTTGAAAGCATATAAATGATGTTAACTTAAACCAAGGCCAATTGTAATGATTATATTTCGGGCGCGTTAAATTTATAGTATTTTCTCTAATACCACTCAAACGGTGAAGGATGTTACTGTCATCCATTCTTTTATAACCATTGTAATTTCAGGTAGTTTGCAGCAGCTGATGATGAGAACCTGTGAAACAGAATGATGATATCATTTTATCCTGTATATATCTGATCTTTATTTATTCAGTGAAACTTATCAAGGAAACCGAATGTATGAAGGAAATATGAAACAGTTCATTTGAATGATATAATTTAGAATAAAATTAAAGTCCAAATTCTAGCCTTCCATTACATATTATCAGAACTTATCCACTTGTCAACTCAGAAGGTTATATTGCATCCTCAGGATAAACAATTTATTCTGTTCAAACTATTCATGTTATTACGTAACTCTTCTTTAACAATTGTTTGTGACAACTCACCAATTTTGTTACTACCCTCTTGTACCAATATCCAATTCCTCTGAACACTTTTTGTATTACGTAACTCTATCAAAAGCTTACTAATTGTATTTCGTTTGACAAACTTAATGTATGGAGGATTTCACCATGAGCTGACATCAGTTGGAGAACCACTGGAAAACCTGGAAGTACTGGACGGCTGTTTCGTCCTAGTTTTGGACTCTTCATCAGTAAGCACTCACCGGGGTTCAAACCCAGGGCCTCCTGGTCCAGTAATTCCAGGTTCTCTAACTGATTTCAGCTCATGGTGAAATCCTCCATCCAGTCAAACGAAATCCCTACAGAACCATTAAGTGAAACTTAATGTACACATACATGCAAAGTAACACATATATATTTGGGACTGTACAGCTGTGAAAATGAATTCACCGAGGAGACTTCACTGAACTACTGGTCTTCTCTCCAATTTGTTAATGCTTATCTTAACACTTGCTATTCTGCCGAATAACCTTTATATTTATAAATTTTCTGACCCCATAGTTTATAAATATTTAGAAATTAGAATTCATGAATCACTGGGCGTAAACGAAGTGACTCATAACAGCTTATTCCGTTGATCATCTTTATCAAAGCAAGAAGAACAAAATTTAGAGAATAAAGTTTGCATATTTTATTATTTGGAGGTTCCTGTCCAACTTCAGGCAGTCTGGAGTATTTTTTTACTCCT